AAAAAAAGCATCAGTCATAACAGCACTATAAAGATGGAGCAGAAACAGCCAGCAACAAAACCTGCCAGCACCTGCACTGTATGAAAACTCTCGCACATCCCTCGTGCATAATGTCCTGGGAAAAAAATGCTCTCAACTCTCATAAGGAAGTTACTATTCACATCTTTCTAACTAAAAAGAATTAATTTTGAGAAACTCTGATCATTTCATAAGGTTGTCACAGCAGAATGTAATGTTGCTGCTAGCAGAATCTCACATCTGCAGCATTATTTACACAGTATATATAGAGGAGGGAAAAACAAATGAAAAATGAAATTTTCCAGTGTATGATTTCTAGTGAGAAATGTAGCACTAAAACCAGTGCTGTAACTTTGAGAAGTATTTAACGATATCACAGCAAAACACTTTGGCATAGACAAGCAAGATATGGGTCATGAAACCAGCTCGGACCCCAGTGAGATCACCTGCAAAATATTTTGAGACATTTACGAATACTTGCTTTTTCATGTCAAGTATTGACTTGTCAGTCAATCCTTGGGGGGAGGACTGTTTGGTTTTGCTTTGAACTTATGAGAAGCAAAAGTTCAGAGCTGAAGGTGGAAAGCACATACAGACCATATGGAAACGCACAAGTGTCCTGAACAGCTCTGAAACGGAGGCCCTGCTCTCCTGCTCGGGCAATGGAGCCTGCTGCAGATCAAGGGTTTTAAGCAAAAAACCCACGATCACAGACTGCGTCCATCTCTTTTTGAAAACAAAATAGTTACTGTACAAGTCACTTTCTATTTTATGGGAAATTGATTTAAATACTATTTCTTACAAGTAGAAATTTATACTTGTAAAAATTAATAGAAATCTATTAAAACTTGCATTAGTAACACTGACCAAAACAGGCATATTCCAGAAGAACATAGATGAGAAAGCACTTGCTTCTTGGTGGGGTTTCTTCTGTTTAATTGATCCCAGGGAGGGGAGAAAGACTTTTTTTAGCTATGTTTCATTCAGCATCTAGCTCAATGCACAGAATATAAGACAGATTCTGAAAATATGTAAAGCTGATCTGAGAAAAGGAAAAGCAGCAGCTCCCTCTTCCCTCAGCATCAGGATAATGAGTTTATAAATTAGGATTCAGTGTTTATTTCAATCCCACTGGAAAAATAACATAGCATGAACACAATGTAAAAACAGACTACAGAAGCTCCTCAAGAGTCACAAGACTTAAGGAACTGGCACTTAGGTCTTCACTTTGCATTTACCTGCAATTCCCAGGATTTGCTAGAAGTGACCATTCCTTTATATTGAAACCCAGTATTCAAAGCATTTAGTCAATGAAAAGTTGAAACTAGAATTAAAAACGTGAAGCCCTGCATGAAGGCAAACAAAACTGACCAAGAAACAGCGGAAGATAAGTACTGCAGACAAACCGCATGACTGAGCTCTTGCTTCATTGACAGTGTCAGGGGCTCCACGATAAATGAGCAAGGTGACACACCACTGCAAAGTTCGCTTACGATGACAAGCTTCTCTATTAAAGCAACTGCTTTACTGTGCCAAAAAGCTTCAAAAAAGAATGCTCAGAATGGGAAAACCCTCCTGGCAGAAAGGAAATGCCACTAGGAGATAATATAGGAGGAAAATAACATTTTACTGACTGAAGATCCTTTTATCCAGGCAGCTGCCTTTCCAGAATCAAGGAACAGCTCTACCAATCTCTACTCTACAGTAATCTGATTTAGCAATATCAGACTCAAATCTAGGGGCTCCCATGTACCTGTCAGGGACCACTACATTACTTCTAACAGGTATAAGGGAGGTCAGAATTAGACCAACTAGAAGTTTTTGAATTCACACAAAAGAACGAAATAACTGACTTTGGCTATATGCAGTCTGGCATGTTTCTGCAGTAGCTAAAACAGAAAAAGCCTGTTTTGCATGAAAATACAAAAGATACTTATTAAATAAGAAAAAAGGCAAATCAACAGAATAAATAACAGAGAAATAGAATTGATGATTCATAACCATACTTAAAGGAGTCAGAGAAAACAAATCATTCATTTGCAAGTGACAAAACATCATTCAGCAGGTAGAGGCACACAATTTAAACCAAAGGATATTTGCAAAATAACTAAATTGTTCTATACCTTGGCCTTGCCACACTTTCGATGGGATTACTAAAATTTTGTCACATGCTGCAGAAGGCTGCATCCACTTCCAAACCAAGAACTCAGCACCACCTATTCTTTGCGTCTCGGTGAGAACTCTAGATTCATTTGCTGCGAGGAAGTCAACTGCTCTATTCCAGACTTTCCTCATTTTCTTCCTGAAAGCAAGAATCCATCTGCATTACAACAATCCACGTAGTTCAACAATCCAGCTCAGAAAAGAAATCCAGTGTTGCTTTCGCCTGCATCTAAAGGCGATCAAAACACAACCAGGCAACCTACTAAATTAGCTCAGTTAATTGACCAATTCATTTCTAAAAGCTGAGTGCTTTATTCAAAGGAACTACTTTAATAGCTACAGGGAGAACATACCTGTCCTGAGGGGGTATTAGAGAATCACGCACGTGTGGAATAGGCATGTAAGGCTGCAAGTCTTTATTTTCAGAACAAGCCTCACTGTGACTTCTTAGAACATCTGAGAACACCGTAAGGAAAAAAAAAAAGTTAACGTAGTTTAAGCAAACAAGCAAAAATATTCAATGCTGGTTAAGAGGAGCAACACTGATATTTCCAAATACAGTAGTTAACAAAGCGACGGTCTTTTTGACCTTTTAAAGCATTCCTCCTCCCAATGTGCTAAAGGCAAGTCAAAGACACTAACTACACAAAGTACATTTGGAATAATGGAAACATTCTTGCAGTTAATCTTGAGCATGACTTTTAACTGTTAGCAGAAACAGCCCCCTTTAAGAAAACAGTGCATTTTCCATAACAAAAACTGTATTTGTAAACCAAAAAGCCAAAGGTTAAAGTAGGAATATAGCTCCGATTTCGCTATCCTTTCTACCATCTCTGGATTTACAATGAATGCCACAGAAAGGGGTAAGTTAGGATAGTGCAAGTATAGATGCCATTCAAAACAAGCACTAAAAGAAAAAAAAAAATCTATGAACAGAGCTACTACAAGCATTGCAATTGCAAGTACAAAGTTCGAATTTCAGAATTCAATTACACTTTCTATTTTAGTAGGACAAATCTTATCAAAGTGACTAATTAAAGCTCCCCTTTCCATTAAAGGAGTAGTAAGAATGGAATTGAGAGTTAACACAAGTTTTAAGATTATATTGGCTACAGATAGCTGAAAGGAAATTAATGCAGAAAAAAACATGTCACCATATTTAAAGCCAACCAACATCCCTTCTGTATTTGCGTTTTCAATAATAGATTATGTCCTGTCCGGTCAATGGTGATTATAGCCATGATGATATAATTCACAAATTTAAGACTTGATACCAAATACCTGTATTAAACAAGAAATTGGCACCTCTCCTAGTACTCTAGCAGCAAGATGACTGAGAGCTAGACACAACTGAGCTAACCAAATTACAGTGAGCACACTGAAAGCCTAAGCAAAGCTGATAGAGGCATCAGACGTGATTTGAGAAGCCATACCTATGATTTTTACCACCATATCATACATCTGCCTCGTCTCCTCTTCCTCTTTTGCCCAACGATATTTCATGTAGTGCAAGACTCCCCATACCATTGCTACACCTGCATTAAATGAACAAAACTCTTTAAGCATTATTGAATTTTTGATTATTTAACAAAGTTCACACTACGTGCTTCAAAAGTTGGTTGAATTGGCTAACATTTTAAGGTACCTCAAACTCAGTCTAGTGAAGCACATGGTTTTCATCGTGGAAATTTTGTATTTTACTAACAACACAACACTAGCCTCGGAACACTATTTTCTGAAGAACACACAGATTTAGTGTTTTTTTTTTCCCCCCCATCATTTTAACAACAGACTTGGATACACCATTGAGAAGTTGAAATTTTACACTACAGCAGCAAAAATAAATAAATCACAGAACTGAATTATCATGGAAAAATTCAAAATAACTCAAAGTCTATGTAAGGTGATAATTTGGAACCTCTTAGTATTTAAAACTGTGTAATATTCTTATTTACATACAAGTCATGTTCTTTAGACATGTAAGTCAAAACAAATTAACTTTGCTTCAGTTCAGTTACAGCTTTGCAAGGGAAGCACTGCGTGCCATTCTCCTGTTATTTTAACGGAAACTTCCAAAAGAGAAAAGCTAGATAAGGCCGCCAGCAACATAAGATGAAAAGTCATCAAAAAAAATTCACTCCCTCTTCTCTCTCAGGTTGAGGGCACCACTATGCTCTCAACAATGAAAAATATACACAGGTGCTAGATACATAGTTGGGCTTGGACACAAGTGACTACAAGGTAATGTTTGCAAGGTAATGAGTGACACCATTGGCCCAAAACGGGTGCTTGCTAATTATGGTGCATCTAACTTTACATAATCCTCTATATTTCAAAGGGTGCTTCCACAGAAGCTCAATTATAGATGGACAATTGAGTTGCCAAGTGATGCACACAAATATAACTGATTGGACCAGTGGCTAATTTTGAGTTTTGCCTTAGAGTCCCAGCCCAACACACCATCCGCTCCTATCAGCAGGTGACAATCTGTGACAGGTTGCCTTGTACTCCTTTGGTTTGCCAGAAAACTAAGGAAGGAGGTATTAGATCTGCTGTTCCATAGGCAGGAGATTGTCAAAACACTAGCATCAAGGGAATCCTGAGAAAGTCAGCTTTGCATCTTCAGTATTTCTAACATGCCACATGAAGTGACACATTTGCACTCACAGGACTATGTGTTTTGCTGCATGGTTTTAGATCTGCCAAGACCAAGAAAAACAAACAACCTGAAACTTAAGAGTTATTGTGACCAGACCTGCAAGTCTTACTGAAGGATTAGATTTTTTTTTTTTTTTTTTTAAAACAGAGTTAGGAATTTTTGATGACAAACATGTTGACATTCCAACTTTTCCTCGACACTGGAAATATAATTACAGAAAAGATGATCTTCCTAAAGCCCCTCAAACACTACTGAAATGCTATTTAGTAACAGCTATCATATCTTTTTAATGAGCTTTTTTTTTTTTTTTTTTTTTTTTTAAACATCAAATCAGTCTGGATGTTTGAAAGCCACAAGATTTTGCTTTTGAAGAAAAAGTACCAAAGTTCAGCTGACTGTAACAGCAGGTAATAGTGACCGAAGAGAAAACACGGTGGTGCATCCAAAGTGCAGAGCAGACTGTTGCAACCAGGAGACCAACTGGAGCTCTGAGTTGGATAATTGAATAAACCCTCACATACACCTCAAGCAATTATATAAACACAAGTTGAACAAAACAAAAGGTTGACCTTTTACTCACCCAAAAGTAGTATTGATAATCTATGAGTCACGTTAACAAATGCACGTCGAAAACGACACCTGAAAGACATCTTTGGACTAGTGGATTCCAGATATTTCACATTTATCACATTAGTGACGTTTATCTCATTTGGGTCATTGCTGAGACACCTATAAAAAAAAAAAAGGCATTTACAAAAAAGGATACATTCTGATAGAATTTAAGTTATAAAATAAAAACCACTTACTTTATGCCAACATCTTCCCCACTATTCAAGATCCATTGTAGTGATGTGTTAAGTACACTTTCGTATTCTGGATCTAAGCTCTGTCAAAGACAAATATTAATGAGCTGTTTCTTTAATAAACTGAAAAGTTGCTATGCCAAAATAAAATACAAATACCACACAAACGAATAAGCAGGCAAACCTACATGGTTTTGTTGAGTCTTCATTTTTTGCATATTGTTCACTAGGCAAAATGAATCCATACAAGCTATGAGCAGCTACGGGACTTACTAATATTCCTTGAATTGAGGACTATTTGAAAAGTGAAGCCACATTCACCATTTTATAAACAATTATAACCTGCAGCAAGAAAAAATTATTCAGCCACTAGGCGGTGCTCATAGAAAGTCTACTTCAAAATATCAAACTAGATACAAAACTTGCTGAAAATTGACCCTATAAAGAAGCTAATACTTTTTTTTTAAAAAAAAAAAGGTAAAGCTTGATGAAAAGCAATTTTAATTGATATTTTAATTGCTATTTTGTAAATATTCTGATGTTTCTAATATTACTACATATGAAGTGATATATGCTTTTTAAGTTAGTTTACATCAATTACAGGAGAACATTCACTGAAATCTGAGCAAATACTGTCTCCATAGTTCATCTTACATGTCCTTTCACAGAAAAGGAAACACAATCATAAGTTAATACTGTATTTGAAGTGATATTCTCAAAAAAAAAAAAAGATCTTGCTTTGAGCCTTATACAATGCAACTAGCAACTCCTTTTAAAAGGAAGTATAAAAAGTCATTGCCAAGCCAACCTTAGTTTATTAGCAGCTTCTTCAGGATGCTCTTCAAATCACCCGTTTATGTTTGCCAAAAACGTCAGGCTCGTTTTGGCTTTCTGTACATTATTAGTAAAGTCACATGAGCTTAACATCCTAATCTCCCACCACCAAACCAAGAGGAGGGGAAAAAAATGCTTCTACCCTAAGCTTTTGGAGAGGTTCAAGGAGTATCCTGCTGAAGGGGACATCAGTATGTGCAAAAAATAAAGCTATGAATACCAAAAGTCTGAAAACACCTTTTACTGGGGAATTGGAATTTCATAGTATTGGGCATCTAGCAAATTAATAGAGGCCCTTTTGGACCATTTCTGTTTAGTGCGGTGGTGACTGGTCTCCAAACAGCTGCTGCCTGTAAGGCCCACAGCAAAGAGCCAAGTTTCAGGAGCTCCTGGTGAAGGAAGGAGGGCAGAATCCTTCCTAACAGGGACCAAGCAACTGCCTCAAAACATCGTGCCCTGCACACTAGGGAAGCTTCTGGAGATCTGCTAGGCAAAAATTTTATCCTCTTTGTGTTGCTCAATCATCTCCATCAAATGAAATTGTCATCTATTCTTGCATTTTAAATATAAGAAAAAGATGCATGCAACAAAGTACTGCTTATCTATACTTGCATTGCAGATGATTTTTTCTTTCACCTTCCCCCTCCCCCAAATACATAAAACACGCGACTCATGATTTTTAAGATTAATTCCAAACATTTCCAAATAATATCCAATAGCAAGTCAAATTTTGGACTCTCCACTAGATTTAAAAAAAAAAAAAAAAACAGACCTTGCAAATTTTAACTTACATAAATCTTAGATACAACCAATGAAAAATACCTCGATTGCTTACTTTCAAATATGCAGCTGCCTCCTGGACGGTAAGGTTTCTTTGATTAGAGCTGCCACATTCATGTTCCCCTGGTAAAATTAAACTTTTGTTTATTTTGATCTACTTATTACTGCATTATATAAAATTACCTAAACACAGTTAGTACAATCTATGCAAGCAGCAATAACTGAAGAATTCTGACAAGTTCCACTAAAAATATGTGGGAAGAAAGTTCCTGGGAGTACCCCTTGGGAGGAAAAAAAAACAAAAAAAGTCTCACAGCTAATAAGATGTACAAATCACATTGACAGAACTTCTTGCACTGATCAGAAAAAAAAGATGCATGTAGTACTGCAAAAAGAATATAACATGATTACTGTACCCTGACACAACTTCTTCCAAACAATTTCCATTTACTCTGAAATACGTATTACCTGTTCATACAAATGAGATTAGTTTCATGTGCAACACATCTACTTCAGGCACTACAAAATGACTATATTTTAGGTTAATACGCATCATAAAAGCTCATCACTTTCTTAAGCATGCACAGTATGCCAATATGGTCTGAAATTGCTGTTTTTACCATCTTCCTAATTCTTGATGAAAGTAGGCAGAAACAGTCAGGAAATTGGCAATACAGACACAGTCAGTCCACAGAGCTGATTTTCCTGATTTTCTTTACTAAGCTGAAAGGACCCAATTCACACACAAAAAAAAATAGTGACAATCACAACAACATGAAGTCACACAGAAAGGCAGAAAGGCCCAGCAACAGCTTCTATCTGACTAAGCCTTATTTCTGAAAAGGAATCAGTGGTAAATATTTTTTTAAAGTCCTTATATACATATGTATGTATATATGTGTGTGCATATGAGACATACATATCTTTCCCCAAAAATACAACTTTATTGTGTCAAAACAACCCAAATTCAACCAAATCAGGGCGAAGCCTTACCTTCCTGAACCTACACCAAACTGCATTATTCCCAAAGCCACACCAAGGCGAGGAAAGTGTAAGGTGTTTATACGCATATGTAAGTATAAAACAGTGTTTGAACCCTTACAAAGTATATACATTAAAATTAGAATTATCCACACTGGAATACCCTTTCAATGGAGCAATTGCAAGCGTTCATTGCCTGCACAAGCAAGAACGTTGAAGGTAACCTGAGCAAGATAAATTAGCCATCCCTGGCAAGCTATGGGGAAGGGTTTTCTGGTCTGCCATTCAAGCACAACAGGGAGTTCCAGTTGACACCATCCTCTGCATGAACTTCTGAAGTTGGAAATTCAGCACGAAATGAGGCAGATGTGTATTTTGTGTTGTATAGGCTCCACCCCGGGGCGCTGACACGTGTGACTGCCGGGTATCTCACACTCCAAGAGCAGCAAACCCGACAGAACTATCACCGTGCTCGTACACACGTGGTCCTGCATCCACTCCTGAAGGAGCACTGTGACAAAACCAAAGGGTATTTCTGTAAAAGCCTTATGTCCAGTCTCATCCAGGTAATAAATTGCAGGATGTTAACATGCCTGAAAAGTGCCAGTTTACTTTGCGTTTTTTTTTGTTTGTTTGCTTGTTTTTTTGTCTGCTAAGACCTGAAGCCTTCAGACCTGAGGTTTTCCTAATAAACAAGCAGCATGGCAATCATGATTTGACCAAACATTTCAATTTTTTTTTTTAAATAGGTGGGGAGCAGGGGGCAGGGAGAAGCTTTCTGGTTATGAGCTTCTTCAAATTTTTATTTATATGCACGCACGTGTGTCTAGAGAAGCAAGAAAGCATAATTATGACTCAAAATAAGAAGCAGTAAAAAGGGGGAAACAAACACACAAACATCCTCATGCAGCCAGACTGTGAGAAATGAGCTCTCAAAAACAAGTTTCAGAATTCACCTTAAATTTTCTCGAGAACATAGTATTACATCTCACACTAGGACAGAGCTCCCTTATACTGGGTGAGTTTAGTGTTTTTAAAATCTAACCTTATTTGCCTCACTGCAGGAATTAGGTTTATGCAGTAGGCAGAGAGACCACTATTACCAACTTGACTGTCCCTGGTTCCCAAATTCAAAAGGCCACCAGGCAGCTTCTTCACAAGACCCATTTCCAGGAAAAAAAAAAAAAAAAAAGGAATGTATTATCTTGGGCCAAACTTAACACTTAAAAACACTCTCACTGCCTAGGCTCTGACAGCGTTCAAAACCCATCTGTTCACTTGACTCATGTAACCTGGGGAGTGGAGGGTAGACACTTCTCTTATACTACTTGCTCCCAGAAAGCCAGAGTTGGGTTAATTTCTGTCCTGCATAAAAGCTACTGGAGCTGCAGGCACCTTGGCCATTCCAGTTCCTCCATTGCTGAGAGCCACTTAATGACTTTCTCCTGAGAAACTCAAATTTGAAAATCTGTAGCCAATTCAGGAGTCAGACAATTTTCTAACTGAGGGCAGCAGTATATTCCTATAGGCCATTGCAGTCACTGCTTTAGCTAATGGTTCTACAAATGAAGGCTTCCTTTGAATTGCTTTGGTGCAATCATTAACCACTTGGCTTGGAAACCCACTTTCCACAGTCTAAGGCAAAAATATTCCACTTGAGGCCCTATATCCAGGAATATAACTGAAGCAGAAGGAAAAGTCTTAAGCAGGTCTGCTGCAAGACACATCTGAGCTCTTTGTAAAACCGCCCCTCTTAAAATATCCATTGCAAGCTCACAGTTATGAATCTTCATGCTGAAACTTTTCTTGGGCACAGGCCACTTCAGTTTCAAGTGCAGAGAATCATTTCACTTGCACACGCAGGATGTGGCATAAGTAACATGTACAAATTCCAGCAATGATCAAGAAATTAGCGTTTAGCTTATGTTACTGTACTTGCGCAAACCACATAATTAGTTAGGCTCTTCTCCTAGAAATATATATATATATTAATCTTCAGAATTGAGGGTGTAAATTAACTCTGTACTCACAGTTGCTTTCAAGACAGAAAATAATCCAGATCTGCTTTTCAGTGCAGAGCAGAATACTTGCAACTGACTTTCATTTGAGCATTTAATTTAATTTATAAGCTCCCACATACACATTTAACAGTTTTAAAATATATTTGCTTCACAATGTAAAGCATTGTCTTAAGTACCAGAGCCAAAACTCAATGGATATCTAATACTTTAAGGAACACATGGATTTTGCACAGACCTCTACTTTATAGCTTGATGCAATACCATGAACCAGTAGAAAAAGCTTAAGAAGCATTTGTTAAACATGCTTACAGGTTGCTTCCAGCAGGACCCTAGAGAGGGTAGCAAAAGAAAAGCCTACAAGTAGAATAAATGAGAGAGCAAGTAAGAATGTCTGATTTCCCAAGAGCAAATTCAATAGTCTGACACTTTGTGGAAAACCAGAACTTGCTAAGTAGTCTTTAAATCACTGGTTGAAAAGAGCACAGTATCAATTACCTGAAGATTAAAGAGTGACAGAACAGAGAGCCCGAGACAGAAATCAGATGCAGTAGCTGACATTACTGAAATTAATATTAAGGAACTATTACTGTTTTGCCAGTATTTCTCCTCCGGTCATAGTTTTACCAGTAAGCCTCACTACACATGAAAGTCTAATCCACCCTTGCATAGAAAGGACCTGGGCCATCCATTAGTCAGAAGGAAACAGTCTGAGTCCGACAGACCATCACTGAGGAGGCCAAGCTGAGGAAACATCTCACTGTGCAAAACTCCTTCTCTGTGTACCAGGACATAGGGCCACATCCGTGGGTAGCTGCTTCTTGGGGGCACAGCAATTAAGCTCATTCGTTCAGTGAACCTGACTGAAAAGGGACACGATCTCGAGGTCTCTCTGAGAAGCACCCAGTGCTGAACTGACAGACATCTGATTTGAGCAAGGTGCGCATTCCGGTTCAGAGCAAAGTGGTAGGCACTGCTATACAAAGAGACCAAAAAAGTTGCTACTTTTAAAGAAGGCAGAATCACACCACAAAAATAGAAGAACACAAATTTCAACCCAAACCTGAATAATGAAATTCGGCTTCTCCCTCTAGTTTCTCCCAGGGTAGCGATTACTCGCCATAGGTTTGGCAGACTAATCATTTTGCCTTTAACGCATTATTGTTCTCAATCTATTCTACAAGATAATTATATCACTTTGCATAGCAGAGCACCACAGCACAGAATAGGTACCTACAGCTGGAACCCATGTTAAATCAAACAAATAATGAAGTATTAACCCGACTTCCCATCCCATAAATGACTTCCAATGTCTCACCTTTTAAAACAAAAGCCCCATCACTTGCTTTGCCAATTTAAGGCAAGAAACCAGCTAAGTAAGAATGTAAAAGGTATAACACGGCATGCTAGAAACGAAATTCTGAAGTTGCCGTCTTGACGGTAAGCAGGACATTGCATAAAGCTCAACAGAAGAGCCCAGTGCAAATTTCGAGCCTGCTTTTTTACTATTAATAGCTATAACATGAACAAAGAATTCATAGCCAAGTATGAAATCAGAGCAACTTGCAAATATACGACAGGCAGACGTGAGAAGCACCGTTTTCTGTAAAACTATGTTCTTTTTCTTCTCTTTTGAAGTGGCATGCAGGGCATAGAAGCAGCTCTTAGCAGAGCCTGCATCTCCAGCAGCTTTCCATGTTCTTTAGCCCTGAGCCAGGGCTACATCAGCATGGGATCCCAAAGGGGATGAAAGACTTTTTCCGCTCCTACCCTGGACACCTGCAACTGTTGACAACTGTTGTCTGTGCAGCTACACACAGGCTCACACGCCGGGCTGTCTGTGGTCAGTGCAGCTTGCACAGCTCCAACGTGGGGGATCGTCTGTCCAATAGGAGTTACTGGGTTTTCTGAAAGTAACTGTTGAAGATTCTCCTGCTCAGGAGAAGACTAATAGACACATTAATGTACCTGCTTTAATGGAATCTACTGAAGAAAGAAGTCATTTTGGAGAATATAAACTCTTTATAAGGCAGACAGATATACCTAATTAAGTTTATATGCACATAAGCAGATTCCAGGTGATGAAGACCTTTCGATGTAGGTATGAGGTGCAAATGTTCCTATATCCAGGCAATCAAGTTTTCCTGCAGAGCCACTGGAGGGGCAGCTGGCACGAGGAGAATGGCAAGTTATTGGAGCCCCTCATCAAAGGGAGCAGAGAAGTCACAACCTTCGTGGCATCCACTTCACACACAGCTCTCCCCCCCACAGCTGTGGGTCTTGCAAGACACCCCTGCACACCACAGACCAGCTACACCACAGGAAAAGATCACTTGGCCCCAATGCCTTCTAACATAGAACCACCTACTTCATCTAGTAAGTAGGATGCATTTTTATCTTTAAAACTACACTGTGATGTCCTTAAACTGTGAAAGATCATAAATAAGGAAATTTGCTGCTTTCTGTCTGTTTTAAGACTAAAACAAGTCTTATTTTGCATGCATTCAGGTTCAATGCTTTCCTTTCACTATTTGGGAAAAGCATAAGGGAAAGGAGGACAGAGGTTTGGACACACAAAGAAGTTTATTTCATTCACTTCAGATATTCTAACTACACAGAAAATTAAAGCTTCTGCCAGAGAGAGCATTCTCTTGCAGTATGAAGGGACTAGAGCTGCTAATACTCTCACAAAACTTCCTATATGATCCCGGACACAAACCACAGCTTCATATGTAACACTGTTTATTTTAAGTATTTGAGACACGTCTGTAGCATCTGATATTGGTATATCTGTAGAAAAGCTTTTCTGTTGATATTGGATGGTGGAAAAACAGCAGTTGGCACACAGAATGGTAAGGCTTAAGAGAAACCCCTTCTACATACAAGGGGGGCTAAATAAGACGTTTATTTAGTGTCCTTGCTTAATAATGAGGTATACTCTGCTGTAATTCATACTCGCCAGATATCAAAATTCAAGTCTTAATTTTACTGGTTCCCAGTTGTGATGTATATGTATCTAAGCAATCTAAGTGCGTTAATTATGATTCTAGGCAAAAATGCAGTATTTCTGCATTTAATATTTAATAATTAATATTAAACCTAAACATTGTCTCTAAAGCATTACTATATAGAGCACTTATCATTAGTAATAAAGTTTGACTACTTTGTCCATCTGTCCACTAAAATTCAACTACTAATATTCATTGCATTGGTTTGATTACTGTCAAGTATTTTTCAAGTAAGCATTTTTCCCACTACAGCAAAATAACTACCTGTAAAAGAAATGCGTATTTCTTACCACATGAAACATATTTAAATACTTAAGTGAAATCCGATTAATACACCACAAACGAAGATGACACCAAAAACCAAAACAGATCAAAACAGTCAGCCCATACTGTCATTTCAAAAATGTTACCAAAAGAAAAAGTGTACAAAAGACGGCTTATGTGATTTACAAGTGGGATTTCTAGTTTCCCCAAATGAGTATCAGAGCGCTGGTAATATACCAGCTGCTGCATATCACTATCTGAGCATACACTTTTCCACAGTTATTCTAACACTCTTAGTCACAATATTTTTAAACTGTTACCTGCTACTTGTGCCAATTTATCATGAAGTGCATATAAGCTGTTCATCATGAGACTTATTTCATCTTCCTGGAAATAAAAAGAGACACTAACATTAAAACAAACCTAAGATGATGTGCATTTTCTTCCATTTACCCCAAAAACTTTAATATTCCATCAGAAAGAGCAAATTTTATACATACAGCTAGAGAGACATAGTGTTTCATGCATAAACAATGATGTAAGCAATTGTATGGGAACTAAGCGTATCAGCAGAATAATTTTTTTTCAGATTTTGACCTAAAACAAAACTAGGTTTCTGCCTGGATTCCAACGGACCTGTTAATTAGAACTGACAGCTCAGAAGGTTGTTTTAAACTACAAACATGAGGCTCAGCTTAAAATAAAGAAAGAAATCAAGACATCTGTGGTCTAAACAATCTTGTTCACATTTCCTACATAATCTACTAGTATAAGACATATTTCCTAAAATAGGCAAGAAAATGAGATATAAGTGTTAAAGAGAGGTAAACTACCAATATACTGAATAGTAGCACTGAAATGCACCAAGAAGCAAGTTATACCAGAACAAATTATTCAAGATCTGAAGGCGATGAATGCTCAGTTAAACACACTCACTTTTAAAGGCTCTTCTGAAAGTTTTTATTTCGATCTGGCTCTGCAACAAGTGGCTAAATCAAACGGCTAAGGTACAACTAGAGTCTTCATTCAGAAAACAGGCCAAGAAAGTTGTTGTCCATTGTCTAGACCTCTGCTAACCTCACATGTAAAACCCTACCTTTAATATAATTTAGTGGTGCAATAGCAGCATGTCCGATAGGTTTTAAAATAAAACTGTTACCAAAAAAAAAATTCTTTTTTTCATCGATCAAGTTAGTTCTCACAGAAAGTATCATCAATGACCAGCATTGCTCGGGTAATTTTAAGCACTTAGTCCTACAAAACCATTACTAACTAACCTGGTTAATTCTCCTCCTGCCTGGAAAATACTGGGCAGAGACAGAAGAAAATCTGCACCAGCTCCACACAGCTACTACAGGCACCCACACTCTCAAACCCCTCCAAGAACAGCGCCCTCCGCTCAATTTGTCTGTTCCTGGATACTTGGCACTTCACTCATGTATACAATGAGCGTGATCTCTTGTTTTGTACCTTAATGGATAGACTACAGAAAGAATTGTTCACAGCTACCCATCGAGCATGAAGCAGGAGCACTAGGCAGCAGCAGACAAAACCCACCAAAGTACCTAACAGAACAGGTTCTTGAGCAGTTGCAGCCAATGTGCAAGACACCATTAAAACATCATCTGGAAAGAATCCTCACAATTTACCTCACAAAATTCAATTCATTCAAAACATTCAGAAATGTTTTCTTCCAAGAGACCTGCCAAGGCTACCGGCTGAAAATACCTGACAATTCACTTTTAGAAAAGCTCAGTTCTAGACTAAAATAACATTTGTCTTGGGGTACTTGCAACATGCCTAGAGGAAGTAGATCACTGTGCTTACAGTCCCGGCAGAAACACAGGCAGAAGACAGAACCACCAAAATAAATGCTGCAAAACTGAGAATAACACAGGCCCTTTTAATGCTGCCATCTCAAAACAAGTTACCCAAATATCCCAGTGGAACAATTAATATGGGGAAAAAAAATAGAATAGAATCAAAGTGAAAGAGGCAAGTTGCCCAACTTGTTTTCTGAAATAAGTTAACCTTCTCTCTTCTATACCACTAAGTAAGACCAGGGAGATTGAAATCAGTCATCTCTTTCAAGCCCAAGTATGCACATGAAATTGGAAGAGACCAACTGATAAATATAATTTCAGACCTCTCATGACAGCACAGTTTCTCATCCTACTTCCACAACACAAATCATGAAACATTTTATATAAAGCAGCCAGAATATGACAGACAGCACATCCTGCAGTACTAGTTACATTCCGAAATATCTGGGGGGTGGAAGAGAGAAGAGAAGAGGGAAAGGAAGAAACACATGCAAACATTAAAGCGTTTAGTAGCAGGAAACGTTAATCACATGCAAAACATTCTGAAATTCCCCTTTCCAAACAGATCTGTACTGTTTTTATTATAGATAGAATTATCTAACAGATAAACAGAATTATCTATTATATAGATAGAATTATCTAACAGAATAAAATTGCTTTACTTACTTGTATTTTTTGTAGTTTACCGCTGAAGGGATGTTTAACTATCAAAAAAGAAAAAAAATCATTTTATTGTCTGAAAATACTAATAAAGCATATCAATATTGTAGTTTCAATAATAACAATAAATGCAACAATAACAATGTTTTATGCTTTAGACAGACGCTAACAAATGCTTATAATGATAAATAGCAGTCAGCTAATAACATTTTACTTAATTGTACCTTTTATATTGTATTATGCTGACATTTTCATTTAAATCAATCTTGTACACCTACAGTTATACCCATTATATATTTCTGTGCAAACAAATGTGCCTATTATTTGCCAAATTCTTGCTTCAATTTCTCAAATACATTGAAATGACAATGTTTAAGTTTCTACAAAGTTTTGGCATTTTAACACAGATAAAACTAAATGTTTTAATAGAGGATAATCCATACAGCACAAAGCAGTACAACTCATCAGCATTTTTTTGATAGCAGTGAATGATGCCACAAGGAGAACCCACTGAAAAGTGCATCTGGAGGACCTTTCCTTCCTCTTTAAATAAAAGTTTCCACTGCTCATGAAAATGTAAGCTTATCTACAATTTTCCTCTTGGTTACAGCAATAGTTTCTTCAAGGAAATGAAGCTGAACCTAGACAAGCAATTTGTGCTATGCTTCCAGTTTTTAAGAATGACTGAAAAGTCATTCAGGAAATGAAGCTTCTGCTGGCCTTAATCCACCAAGCACAAATACATAAGAAAAAGTCCTGGGGAACCTGAACACTGAGGGTCCAGGCTGTCAATCTCATCACTTTGATGTTTGCAATCACACCAAAAACAGGCAGCACTTGAAGGAGTGTGACTCCTCACAGAGTCTTTCCATTTCATAACGGAGTACCTCCAGAAGAACGCTACCTTCCACTACTTCTAGGTCTGATGCATTTGCACAGAGATTATTTCTGGAAGGAAACCCTGGAAAGAATTTTGTGCTTTTTAGAATTGTGCAGTACAGTTTTCAACATAGCAAAACACAAGCAGCACCTTGAGTAAACAGTGTCCAAAACACATAATGCCATTTGCTCCAGTAAATATGTTTTCGTTTCTCCAGCTACTCTAAATATGCACCCTGCAGATATGACACTTCATCCTAAGGCTCTGAAGAGCTGGAAGCAGGACCTAGCAGATGAGCAGCATCTTTCCACAGCATTTCTGCTTGCACCTGAAGGTGCTCGGCAAGAGCCTCTGATACCACAAAAACCAGTCTGAGTTTGCATAGAGCATCCTCATGCACACACATACTCACGAAGCATCAGGAACTGCTTCCCTGATGGGCTGACTGAGCCCTGAACTCTATCACCATGAATTAAGCTGGTTGGTTAATTTAGTTACACATGGGTGAAAATAAGAAAAGCTAAACATCAGGGTCCCAAGTCCCTCCAAAGCCAATGCATCAGGTGAGAAACCTGTTTCACTCTTCCCACATTCAGCAACAACAGGGAGCATATTTCTAAAACTACAACCAAGTGACATGCCAAAATAAAACCAGGGTACAACCAGAATAGTTCCTGAGGCAAGGAGAAAGTGCAACTCTGAAAAACTGCAAAGAGCCGTCTGTCTGTGTGCTTGAGCTCAAGTAAAAATTAATTCTGCTCCTTGCCCTAAAATAGCAAAGGAGCAGAATTTCATCTTCCTCTGACATTGCAAGGGGAAGAAGGAAGTTTTGAGGAAAAAAAAAAAAAAAAGGAAAACACACAAAGGAACCACTGATTTTCAGAGATATCTGAATATTTGATTAAAATTAATGAAAGTAGAAGATGCTCAAGCATTCTTGTAAACCAAACCATAGGGTTTACCAATCCATGAATTTGCTCTAGGGCTGCTCATTCTCAGACATTGCCTGCTAAATGACCAAGCCATGAACTTTACAAAGTTTCTACATATTTCACTAATTAACTCAGCAGAACATTTCCAGCACACTAGACTTTTAATCTAACTAGTCTAAAATGCGATTAGGAAAACAGAGCCGAGGCACTAGGTGACTGCCAACCACCCAGTTCAATCATTAGTTATCCAGACCAGATAGTTATGCAATTATGGGCTTCTCATGAAGCCATTCTTATTAATCGTGCATCGTATTTTGAATACAATTTCAGGCATGGAATGGGGATGAAAAAAAAAAAAAAAAGTATGTCACATTTTGAAGCATACACACATTTTGGCACTCACGAAAACTGTAGAGCAGAAATATCACATCCCGTATAAGGCAAACACATCTTTGCAGGCATTCAAATACTGCAAAGTGTCAGCCCCATCCGCAAGTGCAGTACGGCAGTTAGGTGAAGGCTACAGTAACATCCCAGACACTTCAATTCCTGCCCTCCACCCACCAATATCAGTCTTAAGTGTGAGCAACTGCATATTTGGATAATGAAATAGCACTTTTACCAAGGAGTTCAGATTACATCTGGCAACATTTACCTCTCCTTCACAAATACATTGTCACTGAACAGCAAAGAACAGACTCACTTTCACTTGTCTATCAGAATATTCAGTCAATCCTTGTAGCACATTGCTATAATTCATACACTGTGATTTCCATGACATCCCTGTGAAGTTGGTAATTTTGTGGCCAGTCAGCCAATAAATGAGCTATACATTGTATCACATGCCATTACACCACTGGACGCCTCATGCCTCAAAGGCCAGCATACCAAATGCAACTGCAGTGACCGATCAGCTGCATATGCAGTCAACAGCTGTTAATCAACACAAACTTCCTACATAACCCTGAATAACTTAAGTCCAAAATTCTAAGAACACATCATACTTGCTGTTTTCTCCTCAAATTGCTCAAGATCCACTACCAGAAAAGAAAGAATTACCAGCCTTCAAACTAACTTATCAAGTACATTTTTTTGCATATCTATTAGCTTGAAAGAACAAGTTTGTATCTATTTATGCTACCAGATCAGTTGACAAACATATCCACTAGGTTCAAAAAGGAGCAAACCCCATCTGGGCATGGCAATGAGATGAGCCCCAGCCAGCAGTAAGACTGAAAAGCCTGTTGGTTTTACTTGGTTACATAGGAGCACTGTCATTTTCACATAACAAATATCAAAAAAAAAAAAAAGACTGAAAGTAAACTGTATGTATTTTACCATATAAACTGCAATAGCAATAGCTAAACATCCTGCATAAACTGATAAACGCAGAAGAAAGCAGATGATTCCTAGCAAGGTACAGAGCCAATTACATTCTTTAGTCAGAGTTACAATAAAGGCAAAAAGACGGAACACGTTGTTAAAGGACATCTTTAACTGAAACTCAATTTTGGATCAAGAAGTGACAAGGGGAGATAGGTAAAGGCTATTTAAAAATCCATTTTGAGAAGATTTACACTATGCTAATCAATAAAGAACAAGACACACAAAGTCAGTATGGACACAGACTGAAATATCGATCTCACTGCTTACAAAAGAACTCCTCTTAGAAGTAACAATAACTCCCCTCAAAATCCCTCCCTCTTTTTCCTGCCTCTTACACACTGGCAACAACTTCAGACAAACAGACCTTTACAGAGGTTCTTTTCGCTTAAGTCAATTAGAGAAACTTGGAGAGCACAAAGTGGGGTTGATTTTCTGTTTCTCAATGCATGTTTTAACAGACATGAAAATGTAGCCTAACTGCAGGCATTCAAGAACACAGAGGCACAAGAATACACCTCTTAACAAGAATACAGAATCTTAACAGAGTAAGCTCTAGAAACCTACATAGGTTCATAGGCAATCATACCTAGAAAAAAAGAGCATTTCTTCTTTTCCTATTGCAAGTGGCAGAACCCAGCATTTACATCCTAAATCAGGATATTTTAATAAAACAGAACTATATCTAAATAAGGATTTAGTTAGCTCCTTGCTGCCAAATTAGGATGCCAGAAAGGAGTTGGCTTCACCACTGCTGTTACCCACTAGATGCTGTGTTATTTCACTATTCTTGCAGTACTCAACAACACGATTCAATGCACCACCACCATTTAATACAATTCCACAAACAATGCCACCACCACAGTACATAGAACCAGCCACACTGGGAGTAACCAAAGAACCACCAACTCCACAACCCTCTCTCAGCATTCAGCAGTGACAAGATTTTTTTTTTTTTTTTTGAGACCTCTGCCCCTAACTGAAAGGAGTATCAATAGAACAACAGCAAAAACTGATCAACTAATCAACTGATGCTTTAGCAGAATTTTCTCCCAACCACAATTTGCATCTCAAACTTCCTCAGGCAGAACTGATATTTCTGAAGTTATCAGTCCCTCATGTATTTCCCACCCCCAGCTAATCTGATCCATCACACAGCAGCACTACATAAGCTTCACCAACACCTGGTGTAAGAGAATTATATAATTTAAACGTGCAGTGTTTCTTCTGCTTATTCTGAATTTTTTAACGTGAGAAACTCCTCCTTGCAATACAGCAGACAGTGAGTAACCAGGTCCTATTAACCCTCTCCATAATACTCAGGTCTTTAACTTCATCTCCCTTCCAACAGTCTTTGCTTTCCCATATTTAACAGTCCTATTCCTCCTCAATGCAAAAGCCATACGGTGCCTTTGATCATCTTATTACTGTCTCCGAGCCTTTGTTTTTGCAGCTCTGTCACCCCTTTTCAAGTGGGAGACAGAAATGAACACTATTCAGAACATCACAGCACCACGTATTGATAGTATCATACTGACATTTTGAAATACATACTCACAAATACACTTTGTTCTCAATTTCCTTCTTAGAATTTCCTACTATTTAGTTTTCTTTTTGACCACTAATAAATATCAAACTAACATTTTTACTGGAACTAACGTAATCCCATAATCTATTTCTGAAAGTGCAGATAACTTGATTTTAAAAAGCAAAAAAGCTTGTTTCCAAGGCAGCTTTAAAGAGCTGCAGAGGCAAGAACAATCCCAATTAATTGGAAAACACTGTCCTTTGACATCTCAATGTTATCTATGATACAGAAAAAGTGTGAAATTCAGTCTACACGAATAGA